CAGGGACTGCGCGGAGCCTGAGGAGACACAGCTCGTCTGACTCCTCCAGCTCTCAGGCTAAGCTTTCTTCTCGTCCTGCCCCGAGACTCTGAAAGATCATTAAAAAAAGCCCGCAAAGAGGTGGCCAGTCGGGGTGGTTTATTTTGGGTTTTATTCTATATATACACAAGGCGCATATTTTTAATTTATCTGACAGGCAGCCAATGACAACAGTTCCCCCCAGACTCAGGCTTGCCAGGGAGGGCTGTGAAAATGAAAACAGGGCCCCTCTCTCTCTAAACACCCCCTCTCTTTCTGGCCGTCTCTTGGGAAAGAGTGAGGGAGAGAAGAAGTGACAGGGGAGAGAGAGTGCACACACGTCTCTGATTCATTACTGTGGCCTGCATGCAGCAGTCAGACAGGCAACAGCTGGCTCTAATGCTGCTGACTACAAAACAAACTCCAAACTGACTACAAAATGAAGTGGTTGCAAATGCCAAGTTCTGTTTCATTATTAGGATTTAAATCTGGAATTTTAATTTGCTGGGCCTTTAGATTTTGTAAAATCACATAATCTGGAGCAAATAATTTTGAATTAAATGTCCACCTCTTCCACCAAAACAGTGAGCTCTACAGCTTGTACAGCACAGCACAGTGACTGAAGGAGTGATACATCTCTCACCGACAGCACTGGGGTGTGTGAGTTCTACAGCCTGTACAGCACAGCACAGTAACTGAAGAAGTGCTGTTTAGGAGAAGACATTCAGTCGTGCACCATCACCTGGGATAAACTAGTCACAAGTGACAGGTGTTCAAACTGGTGATGTCTAGACAATAAGTGCTCCATCTGCACATTGGCTCAGCATCTTTTACCAGCTCTGTTACTCAATAATAATAATAACATCAATCATAATAATACATGTACAGTATATAGCGCTTTTCTCCACTCCACTCAAAGCACTTTACAGGTATTGGGGACTCCCCTCCAGCCCCACCTGGATGATGCGACGGCAGCTATAGTGAACCAGTACACTCACCACACATCAGCTCTCAGTGGGGAGGAGAACAGAGTGATGAAGCCAGTTCAGAGATGGGGATTATTAGGAGGCCGTGATTGGTAAAGGCCAATGGGAAATTTGTAACACCCCTACTCTTTTTGAGAAACTTCCTGGAATTTTTAATGACCACAGAGAGTCAAAACCTTGGTTTTACATCTCATACAAAGGACAGCACCTTTTTACAGTATAAGTATCCCAGGACAGACACAGACAGACCACAGGGTGAGCGCCCCCTGCTGGCCCCACTAACACCTCTTCTAGCAGCAGCCTCAGCTTTCACAGGAGTCTCCCATCCAGGTACTGGCCAGGTTCATACCTTCTGAGCTGCAGTGGGTTGTCAGTAGTGAGTTGTAGAGTGATATAGCTGCTGGCCATAGATCAATTAAGATCCCAATGTTGTGTTTCTTATGGCTGTATGTGTGCACACGGACACACAGACACAAAGACACACACAGACGCACAGACACAAAGACACGCACAGTTGAACACAGACACACAGATACACACACACAGACGCAGACACAGTTACACAGACACACACAGAGACAAAGAGACACACAGACACACAGGCGCACAGACACACAGATACAGACGCACAGACACGAGCAGACACACACAGACACATGACGAACAGAGGCACAGACGCACAGACACACAAGACACACAAGACACACAAGACACAGGCGCACAGACACACAGACACAGGCGCACAGGTGCACAGACACACAGATACAGACGCACAGACACGAGCAGACACACACAGACACACGACGAACAGAGGCAGAGACGCACAGACACACAAGACACACAGACACTCACGGGCCAGGGCGAGGCAGGCCGTGAGCTCAGCCAGCGTCAGGGCGCGGTCGTCGTCGATGTCGCAGTACTGGGCGAGCTTCCTGCCGCAGCGGCGAGGGCGCACCTTCCTTCGCACGTACTGCTGCAGGGGGCGCGCCTCCCTCTCGCTCAGGGCGCCGCTGCCGTCCTCGTCCAGCTGGGCAAAGTACCGGCGCAGCGCCAGCTCCGCGTCGGACACCTCCAGAGCTCCCGGGGCCGGAGCCGGGGCGGCGGCGGGGGGAGAGGAGGGGGCTGGCGACACAGACACGGGGCTGTCCCACAAGCGCACAGAGAGAGGAGGAGCGGGAGGGGCAAAGAGGGATGAGACACGTGGTCACCGCACGATCCCCACACGATCCCACATGGTCAATCCCCACACGATCCCACATGGTCAATCCCTACACGATCCCCACACGATCCCCACACGATCCCCACATGATCCCCACACAATCCCCACACGATCCCACATGGTCAATCCCCACACGATCCCACATGGTCAATCCCCACACGATCCCACATGGTCAATCCCTACACGATCCCACATGGTCAATCCCTACACGATCCCCACACTATCCCCACACGATCCCCACATGATCCCCACACAATCCCCACACAATCCCCACACAATCCCCACACGATCCCCACATGGTCAATCCCCACACGATCCCCACACGATCCCCACACGATCCCACATGGTCAATCCCCACACGATCCCACATGGTCAATCCCTACACGATCCCCACACGATCCCCACACAATCCCCACATGATCCCCACACGATCCCCACACAATCCCCACATGGTCAATCCCCACACGATCCCCACACGATCCCCACACGATCCCACATGGTCAATCCCCACACGATCCCCACACGATCCCCACATGATCCCCACACAATCCCCACACGATCCCCACATGGTCAATCCCCACACGATCCCCTCACGATCCCCACATGATCCCCACATGGTCAATCCCCACATGATCCCCACACGATCCCCACACGATCCCCACATGCACAATCCCCACATGGTCAATCCCCACATGATCCCCACATGGTCAATCCCCACACGATCCCCACATGTTCAATCCCCACACGATTCCCACACGATCCCCACACAACCCCCACACAATTCCCACACGAATCCCACACGAATCCCACATGCTCAATCCCCACACGAATCCCACATGGTCAAGCACATGAGTGCAACATGCTGTCCACAGATGAGCAGATGAAGAGCTAACCGGCCTAGCCTAGGGCAACTGAAACATGTCTCTTGAGACGTTACAAAAGTACAGAGCCCAGTCCCCACACAAACAAATGAGACAGAGGGAGACTAAATAATCTTGTCGCAGTACAATATTTTAGCGTTCAAGAGTAATGGCAGTATCATGTTATCTTCATAAATGTTTGTGAATGTTTACTTAAGTTGATTGCTTTGGCAGTGCTGTAATTTGTTGGTCAGTCCAATAAAGCTCTTGGAACTGGAAAATCGTGAGAGCTATTTTGCAGGAAGGGAGAGAAAGAGAGAGGCAGCGCAGGAGGGAGACGTGAGAGAAAGGGGGTGAGAGAGACAGGGAAAGAGATGAAGAAAGGAAAGGATCATCAATAAAGCTCGTTTGTGTGACTGTGTACCCACAGAGCCATCACAGAAGACCAAATGAAGGGACTGTGACAGGACAGCTACAGAAGGCACTTACTGTGAATCCTGACAGAACTATTTATACCCGAGTGCGTTAACGAGGACTGTCTGGTGATTCAGCTCCTGAAGTCATGACAGAGCTCATCGTAATGCCTGACACTAATGAAGTAATCCTGGCTGCATTTCGTTAGGTAACTAGAAACAGTGACACTGAAAATCTTGTGAGTGCCATTCACCCATCCTGTCTTATTTGCACTTATTCTAATGCAAAACATTGAATGTACCTGGACAGTGATGCTTTAGGGTGATTATTTGAATATTCTAAACAAAGAGAGTGAGCGAGACAGAGGAGTCCAGGGTCTAACCTTGGAAGCAGCAGTGATCCACTGGTCTGTCTGGCCTCCTGCAGCAGAGCCTGGAGCAGCTGGTGGAGAAAGGCCCTCTTCTTGGGGCCAGGGCAGCCTGCAGAACAACAGTACTGGTCAGCTCAGGCCTCCAGCAGAGGCCCAAAGGACACGGACCGCAGTACTGGTCAACTCAGGGCACCAGCAGAGGCCCAGAGGACACAGACTGCAGTACTGGTCAGCTCAGGGCACTAGCAGAGGCCCAGAGGACACAGACTGCAGTACTGGTCAGCTCAGGGCACCAGCAGAGGCCCACAGGACACAGACTGCAGTACTGGTCAGCTCAGGGCACCAGCAGAGGCACAGAGGACACAGACTGCAGTACTGGTCAGCTCAGGGCACTAGCAGAGGCCCAGAGGACACAGACTGCAGTACTGGTCAACTCAGGGCAACAGCAGAGGCACAGAGGACACGGACCGCAGTACTGGTCAGCCCAGGGCACCAGCAGAGGCCCAGAGGACACAGACTGCAGTACTGGTCAGCTCAGGGCACCAGCAGAGGCACAGAGGACACGGACCGCAGTACAGGTCAGCTCAGGGCACCAGCAGAGGCCCAGAGGACACAGACTGCAGTACTGGTCAGCTCAGGGCACCAGCAGAGGCCCAGAGGACACAAACTGCAGTACTGGTCAGCTCAGGGCACCAGCAGAGGCACAGAGGACACGGACCGCAGTACAGGTCAGCTCAGGGCACCAGCAGGGGCCCAAAGGACACAGACTGCAGTACTGGTCAGCTCAGGGCACCAGCAGAGGCCCAGAGGACACAGATCACAGTACTCGTCAGCTCAGGGCACCAGCAGAGGCCCAGAGGACACAGACCAAACTACTGGTAAGCTCAGGGTCCAGCAGAGACAGAGAGGACAGAGACCATAGTACTGGTCAGCTCAGGGCACCAGCAGAGATAAAGAAGACACAGACCACAGTACTGGTCAGCTCAGGGTCCAGCAGAGACAGAGAGGACACAGACCGCAGTACTGGTCAGCTCAGGGCTCCAGCAGAGACAGAGAGGACAC